ATAGACATTTTTAGGTGATTAAAATTTATTCTTTCCATTATTTTTATAGAACCACCAGTTTTGTAAATGTTGTGCCTAAAATTGTGTAATTAAAAAGCAAATAACAATATAATAAAAAAAGTGTGTAACAAAAATATGTACAAAAAAGTGGAATTTAAAAACTGCTAACGGATATAGTAAGTGACTGGGGCTTCAGCCCTGTCTCTTCTAAAAATGAAACTTTTTGCATACTAGGTTCTGGCAAAATTATAAGATTTAGCAGGGGTTTATATCCGGGCTTAAAAAAAAATTATAATACTTTATATATTATACTTTATATATTTTTACTCCTTTTCGTACTATTTATAAACAATCTACCGGACAACATTACAAGCCAATTTAAGCTCTACGAAAATGATTGTAAATTTATGAACATCATGTAAATGAATGAAGGTATGCTAGCTTTACAATCAGACATTGATCATGCCATATACTGGTCACAAATGGTTGATGTTCTGTAATGTGGAAAAATGCAAAACATTGCATGTCGGCCGAGGTAACAGAAAATCTAATCAATGACATACACAGAAGGCACTCGTCAAAACCTGAAAGAAACTGAAACTGAACGAGACCTAGGTGTCCTGATATCAAATGATCTCAATGCCCGTGCCCAAGTGGAGTCTGCATTCTCAGTTGTCAATTACAATTTGGGCCTACTCAAAGAAGCATTCCGAAGCAGAAGCATTTGTCTCTGGCGAACGCTTTACATCACATATAATCGCCCACACTTGGAATTTGCTAATCAAGCATGGTCTCCTCACCTAAAAAAAGAAATTAATATCTTTATAAGAGTTCAGCGCAGAGCAACAAAAGTTTCTTTTATCAAACATCTCCCATAATAGCAACGTTTAAATATGTTCAGATTGACAACACTGGAAAAAAGAAGAGCCAGGGGAGATCTTTTTAAACAGTTTAATATTCTGAACAAAATTGATGATTCTATTTTTTTTGTTTCTCAAAGCTTCTCTAACAACGCATATAATAAACAGCTTAATAGATGAATTGTTAGTGACTGCGAAGATCAAACTTAACTATTTACTAATTGTGTCACACCGTCCTGGAATATGCAACCACAAAAAGCAATTGACACACACACAGTCAACTTATTCAAAAGTTTCCTATCTTGATGGGCAACTTGTCTCGTCAACAGTTTGCCCTACACATTAGTTAGTACAGAGATGCCTGGTGTTGCATCTCTTTGTTAATATACTTTATAACTAATTGTTTCCTAATTTACAATATTAATAAATTTGTCAAAATATTAAATTATTCTTAATTGTAAATTTATTGATTCTAAATAAAATCAAACTCAAATTCAAATTCATTATAATTTTATGCTTACATTTTTTATTGATTAAACACTGGCATTTATTTATAGATTTTCAAACTCTCATTTATTTCCAACAAGATTGCAGGCAACCACTATTAAGTTATGAGTTACTTTAAAATAGAAAATAAGTTAAAATGCTAGGAAACGGTTAACTGAAAACTTAAAAAGTTAATAGGCTGTTTAAAAAAGAAAAACATGAAGATGGGTAAGAATTATAAGGTTTATTTATATGCAAGGAAAAAAACTGGATTATTAAAACTTTTATTGCATGAAAGGACAAATACAGTTAAAGGATGCAACTTGTTGAATAAAAAGCCAAGCAAGAATCAATTTTGGTTTATAGCAATAGAAATGGTAGCTCATTTGAGCATTGACCATGATAGTGTTTGTAGAAAAAAAAACAAAATTCAATGTTACAACAGCAGGAAAGTGGCAAATATTTTGCAGAAAAAGCAGGTATAATTCCATTTAAAATGTACTTTTAGACTTTATCTGAGAGTAAGAGGGTTGTTATTCATCAATATAGTGGCATTATATTCATCAACATAATGCCAATATTATTGCAAAAAAATGGAGTGTTTTTAAATCCTTAGACGCTACAACAGAATATTACTCAAGAAAAAAAGTTGCATAAAATTATTAGAAAAAGTTAAAATCAAATTAAAGTGAAAAGCATCCGCAGCTTCATTACACTACTGTGTATCTAAAACTAAGCACGGGATCCCCTCTCAGCAGGTATAAAGAAATTATTATATTTATTTTTCTATAATACTGTTTTGACCATGTTCGGAGTTACCCCGCGTTCGCCATTACCTCACTCTCCAATAATAATGTAAACATGTAATGGACCTAAACATGTAAATCCTGAATTGAAAAATCTGCATACTAATACAGTTTTAGAATCTTCCACAAATCAAGAAAGAAAAAGTAGAAAAAATTAAAAAAGCGCACCACCGGAAGTGGTATTAAGACCATCATTACAATTAATACTAAATGAGACAAACAGGTGTGGCCAACGTAATAAAAACGACCATACATTTTATGTCACAGAGACATAATTAAAAAGATTTGGTAGTACTTCTTCTACTATCTGTTATGACACTAGAATGAATCTACAAGACTATTAGAGCAAATCTTTTGACCTAGAGTGAAAGCCATTTGTTGAATGTATTAGTCGTAACATATTTCAACAAATAAAGAAACCAATTCGTGTGTCAGTCAACCAATCATTGTTAAGTAATAAAATGTCTAAAATATCCTTATTATATGATTTTTTGAATGATTTTTTGATTAAGTTAGGAGTTTTACACAAAAAACTCAGTGTTGATGAGCCCATGGTACCTTACTTTGGATGTCATTTCGCCATTCTAGATGACATACGATACGATAACGTAGCGCATATTGCAATTACTGCATCACAGAGGAGGCAATGTGCTTGATGCCAAAAGTAAAGTTGTATTATTAACAGCAAAAGTGAGAAACCATTTCATATAACAAATTGTTTTGATTTATAACAATACAGACAGTATGCTTAAACTTGTAAATTGTGAGATTGCATTGGTAACATTACAGACAATATCCAACAATTGTTGTATATTTCTAATTTAAAAAACATTTAATTTTCTATTACTCAATGTTACGCATACTTTTTGGTTAATTAAATATAAAAAGTAAATCCTATAATTTTTTTTTTGTATCCATTAATGCTCAATGGTGACATATATCACCATATAAAAAAAAAAACAGACAATGCAATCTTAATAAAACTTGAAATTTTTCTTGTCTAATGTATCATAAGTAACATATGTAATTTTGAAAGAAATTAGATGATTTTAAAACATATTGATTTTGCTGGGTTAAATTTATGACAAAAAAAAGTTTTAATTGGAAATATTTTTTCAAATTTGATTAATATTATTATCATATATTTAGATCTCTTCAATGTACTTTCAAATTTATTTATATTATTATTTTAACATCTTTTTCATTAAGATTTTAACAATTTTTGTTGGAAAAAATTGCGCACTTGATTAGATTTTTTATAATTTCTTTTGTAATACAAGGTTTAAATTGACGTGAAAAGCTTTTGATACAATTTTTTATTTTTGTGAAGCATAGCGACCTAAAATCAATGTTGTTTCAGTAATAAACATTCGGAAACACGAGTTGATATCATTAAACTTTATAACATCATCCCAGTTGTTTTTTAATAAATTAGATGTAAAATTAGATGTTTTCTTTAATAAAGTTTTTAAAACTCCTGCTATATAAATTGTGTCTGCGTGGTATAAATAATTTACTGAAAATGATACAAATATAAAACTGAGGTAAGTGATCAGAAACAGAAGTTGTCAATCTTACTGAAATAGTTTCATTAATTACTAAATCTTTTTAAAGGTTGCAGCAGAGTGTTCAATAGTTCTAGTAGACTGTAAAGTCTGCGCACTTGATTAGATTTTTTATAAATTCTTTTGTAATACAAGGTTTAAATTGACGTGAAAAGCTTTTAATACAATTTTTTATTTTTGTGAAGCATAGCGACCTAAAATCAATGTTGTTTCAGTAATAAACATTCGGAAACACGAGTTGATATCATTAAACTTTATAACATCATCCCAGTTGTTTTTTAATAAATTAGATGTAAAATTAGATGTTTTCTTTAATAAAGTTTTTAAAACTCCTGCTATATAAATTGTGTCTGCGTGGTATAAATAATTTACTGAAAATGATACAAATATAAAACTGAGGTAAGTGATCAGAAACAGAAGTTGTCAATCTTACTGAAATAGTTTCATTAATTACTAAATCTTTTTAAAGGTTGCAGCAGAGTGTTCAATAGTTCTAGTAGACTGTAAAGTAAGGTAGACATGGTATTTTTAAAAATATATATCCATGTAAGGGTGTCTATATACAATCATAAATAATATTAAAAATTATAATTTCAACAAACTGGGATTTTTAACAAATAGGTGTGTAAATCATTAAATCATCTCTTCGTTTGTACTTTAGTTTTTTTGATAAATATAATAATGTAGCCCAATAATTAGATTCAGTTGGTGCATGTTTAAAATATATCTTTATAAATGCAAATATAAGTTTAATGTTTAAAATATAATAAGAATTAATTGATACAACAATTAAAAAAAAATTAATGTTATGAAAACAAACTTTTCTGTTAAAAAAATTTATATTTTCTTCTTTTCTACATTTATATTCTCTACATTTTTTTCATTTTTTTTTCATTTTTTTTTTCTTTTTAAATTAAATTCATTGTTTGAATTTTCTTTTGTTTGTTTTTTCAAGTGTTTAGTTTGACTCTTTCATTTTTAAACTTTTTTTTTTTTAATACAAATCTGGTCCTTTCATTCCTCCATTTTTTTGAAACTTTTAAGTTCTTATTTAAGCAGAAATTAACTCCATTGATTTTTTTTTCAGCTGTTAAAACGACATTACATCATCTGTAATGACCACGCAAAGTCAACTTTCATAATAACATCTTTATTTTTTATTGAGTTATAAATAAAGGCGTAAAAACTGTATTAAGTGTAGAACTCAATCAATTTTTTTAAATTTTGGCTCAAATATATCTTTTGATGAATTTTTTTTCAACTTTTCAGAAGTTTGTTACCCCATGGAACGTGAAATACTTGGCATACTTCACATCTTCAACAACCTGCATAATGATGCCAAAGTAAATCATCGACTTGCAGCACAAACTGATGTCGAAAGACTTAAGACAACTTTTATGAAAATCAACTTCGAAGTAAAAGTTTATATGCCACAAAGTTTTGAAGAGATGGAAACAACTTTAAACAATGTTTTAAGGAAGACATATGACAATTACAATATTTTTGCATTGTTTTTTATTGCTCATGGGGAGGAAGGTAAACTAGTTGGTCCCTACGAAACACACACACAGAATTTATATTCGCAGATCACAATCAAAAATTTCCTCAATGAAAATACTTCACTTAACAATATTCCTAAATTGGTTTTCTTTGATAGCTGTCGAGGTTTAAAAATAGACGAAAAACTAAATACTTCAACTAACGCCGAAATTAGATCAACTAAAGCATCTTTTTGTGACTTGTTTATGTGTTGCTCTACTGTGGAGTCTTATGCAGCTTGGTCAATTTCAGTTGATAAGACTTATTGCAGCCCATGGGTTAAGGAAATTTGCAAACAAATTATAGAAAAACACATGACAACCGACTTTGAACAGATTTACAGGGATATCAAGCATTATATGAGTGAAAATCCAATAGAGATTAACGGTAACTTAAACAAGTTTCAGATGCCTGATGTTATAACAAATACTTTGACAAAAAAACTTTATCTAATGAAGCAAAAGATATGAAGCAAAGAGTAAACAATCCAGTAAATAAAGGTGCACAATAAAAATAAGTCTGAATTTCAGAAAAGTCTAAACATGACAATCTTTTAGCTTACTTTTTTGATTTTTATATATAAATAATATCAAAATGTGGTTCAATAAAATACTAGTAGAGGCTTTGAAGGCAAGTTATTTCTTTCACTTTTTTATCTCAACTATTTTTTAATGATATTTTCATGTTTTTGTGTCTTACCATTGCTTTTCCTATCAATTTTACAAATTTTTTTTTTGGATTGTTTGTATTATTTTCAAGTAAGTTTTATAACTTTTTTTTTTATTTCATTTGCATATGTTTTTTGTTTTAAATATACAACATCAATTTTATGGTTTTACAATTATTATAACTTACAAAAAATCCTAGGTACCAAACAACGTTTCAGATACGTTTCCAGGACGTTTATTTAGATTCAGATGACATTCGCTGCCTATGTTTCATGAACCAACTTTGAATAACTCCAATTTACAGTTCTTGAACGTTTATATAAAAGTTCAAATAATACACAGCGAGCCTTTACTTAAAATTCACTGCAAACGTTATTTTGATAGCGCTTGAACGTTCAAACATTGAATAACGATTACAGAAGTTTACCCAACGTTTTTTTTTTTTGGATCTTTAAATGTATAAATATATAGCGTTAGCTGACTTTCTTTTTAAACTTATACTTGCTATTTAGTACTGAATAACCTATATATAATTAACAATTGTTAAATAAGTATTAAAGTAAATTTATTTCTACTTATTTACAGTTTTACAACTGAATAACACAATACTAGGCTTATTTGAGAGCTGTAACAGGTTATTCTCACTGCCTTAATTATTCCATCCCCTATGAGAAATTTAAAATGAGATTGCGCATTTGGGTCATAAATGTTAGAAGAGTACCAAAAAGATCCCTACAACTTTATTAATCACAATTAATAAATAAAGTTTACATAAAAATAATATAAGAAAGAAGACGTGAAAAAGACGATGTAGGAAATTAACAACTATAAACTATTTAGTTACTTATTTACATAAAAGTATTTTACAAACACATTTATTGTATAGAAGTATATCTAAAAGAAAAATTCTAACATGTATAAATTATATCTGTCTAAATTACTATCTCCTTTTGTAAATTGCTTAATGTATGACGATCTAATTCTAATTTAGGGATTATGATTGAAATTCTACAACTATAAAATAAATAATAGTTAGGTGATAGTTGTATAACTACTATTTAAACTAACTGATTAAATTGCTCATTTATTTATGTAAAAATAAATTACAAACACCTGTTTGAATTATAATCTCCCCCGAGATAAACTACTAAACATGCCTCTGAATCATCTCCTTTCCTCCTTGTAAGTCATTCAATAAAAGATAATGTGAAAATGGCATTAAGTGATGTAATAAATAGTTAACAATTATGAAATTTTAATTATTTATTTTATTAAAAATACTTTTTTAAATTTCTTATTTACTACTTCATATGATGTGTTTTAGAAATTATACAAACATGGCTATTAATTAAGCATGGGTGTAAACAATATCAATAATAAAATGTCTGTCCTTCTCTAAAAAATATCGAGAATAAATCTTTATTTCTAATTTGCAAATTTAACATTGATTTGATACAGTCAAACTCTTTGCATTTTCTGAGTTTTTAAACTTATTTACTTCTTATAATATTTGCCCATTTATTAATTACCAACGAGAGTTACTGACCATTCTGCTACAATCATTGACAAAAATTTTTGAAATTTAAAAACTAACCAAATTATTTCAGGAAAAATAACAACTTCTATTTCTGACCACCTACCTTAATTTCTTGTTTGTCATAATTTCAACATATTATATATCCACGCAATCATAATTTATACTGCAGGAACTTTAAAAACTTTATTAAAAATTTATTTAAATCTGAATTATTAAAAGTTGGTTGGAATGATTTTGCCAGTTTTAAAGCATTTATTTCTCAAACAATATTGTTGTTAGATTGTTACCTGTTCTCAAATAAATTATGATTAAGAGCTACAAACGTCAATTCAAGCCATGGGTTACTAACGGAATAACAAAATCAATTCAAATTCAAAATCAATTTAAAGGAAAAACGTTAAGTATAAAAGATACAACAAATATAGTTAAACTAAAAACTTTTATAGTTTTCAGTTTAACTATAGTTAAACTAAAACTCTTTAAACGCTATAAATATACCATAATTAATCTAATATAATTGAGTAAAAAATTTTCGACCTGGAAATGGAAAAAAAGTCTAATAAATGTAAAAATTGTCAATAATATTCCTCCAAATTGCTTACAAGTTAACAAAACATACAAAACTGAAACCAAGTCTAATCTGCAAAGAATTCAAAAAGTTTTTCAACAAATGCAGCAATTAAACTTAATTCTAAAATCAATTCATCTCACAATAGCTATAAAAAGCTAAAAAAAAGTTTCTTAGTATGTTAAATAGCTTAGATATAATATGAGAATAATCAGAATTAAAATCAATAAGATGTTTTTAAGGATGCTGTTAAAACCGATTGAATTTCCAGTTTTTAATTGAGATGTATGTGATGAGATTTCAGAACGGTTTATTAGAGATTTCAGAACGGTTTATTAGAGATATCAGTAATAAACCGTTACTGATATCTCTAATAAACCGTTCTGATATCTCTAATAAACCGTTCTGAAATCTCATCACATACATCTCAATTAAAAACTGGAAATTCAATCGGTTTTAACAGCATCCTTAGAAACATCTTATTGATTTTAATTCTGATTATTCTCATATTATATCTAAGCTATTTAACATACCTTTCTTAAATTGAATTTTTCCCGATATTTGGAAGTTATCTAGTGTCATTCCAGTAAATAAAAATGGCTCAAAGCTCTCATGCACTAACTATAGACTATTTTCAATTCTTTCTAATGTTGGCAAGCTCCTTGAAAAACTAATATACCCAAGATTATAATCATTTTTGAATTCCTTTAACTGTTTAAATAAACTTGAGTTTGGATTTCTATCAAAACATTCTATTTGCCTCGCTTTAAAAATTATTACCAAAACACTTGCTTTAATAAGTATCACAAAAAAATAAAAAAGGCACTGGATACTAGTCATTTCATAGGTGGTGTTTTTATCGACTTACAAATAGCGTTCGATATTGTTAGTCATACAATTTTTATTTCTAAACTTGAACATTACGGAATCCGAGGAGCTGTTTGTAACTGGTTTCAATCTTATTATTCATATCGAAAGCAGTTTGATAGCACTAATGTTTACTAATCAAATAACAAACATATGTTTTGTAGTGTTTCCAAGGGTTCTGCTCTTGGCTCTATTTTGATTATGATTTATATTAATGATCAAAAAAATCTGTTCGTTTCTCATCAGTCTGTCTGATACTAATACCTAGCAAGATATTAAGTCTAATTATTTTTTATGTAAGAATATAAACTTAGACCTGGAAAGTTTATTTCATTGGCTAAATGCAAAATTAATTACTCTGAACATAGAAAAAGCTAAACTAATATTTTTTTCATCTCGAAAACAAAAAATTTTATATGACAATCATATAACTAAAATTAAAATAAACAATAGACATTTATATCCAACAAACCTTGTTTAGTTTCTTGTAATTTTCATAGCTTTCATAATATATATATATATATAAATAAATATATATATATATATATATATATATATATATATATATATATATATATATATATATATATATATATATATATATATATATATATATATATATATATATATATATATATATATGTATATATATATGTATATATATATAAATATTGTTCGTTTTAGGAAAGCTTTTAGCTCTCGCGGCAAAAAGCTCTCCTTAAACGAACATGTAGAGCCATGCGAGCTGCTCCTCTAAACAGCTACTAATGAAAAGCTTTTGGTTTTTGCACAGGTTTGTCTGTTTAGTCATTAGAGAATTTACCATAAAAACTTGTTTTTATATTTGTTACAAACGTGTGACAAATCGTGTGCGATGGTGCGACAAAAATAGGTGCGACAAATCATTTTCCTTTAATGAACGTTCGTATCTTTATTTAATGATGAACGTCAAATTTAATAGATATAAGTCATTGGAAGTTTTATTTTCAGATAAATTTTATTCTAGTTTATAAGGTATTAGATAAATCAATTATACTTATTGAGTTTAAATAATTTTTTTTTTTCATTAAAACAAGTTTTTACGAATTTGCAAAGTGCGCGCGTGTTAATTATAAAGAATAGGCAATAACCAAACAATTGTAAACTGTTATTTATTGATACTAAATAATGAATTTTTCTTAATTTAGTTTGCTCATTTTATTTACAAATAAAGAAACGTATAAATTTGAAGAAATTAAAGTAAAAGGAGCTAAAAACAAAATAATTTGTTTATATATTTCTTTTTTAAAACTTTAAAAAAATAATATTTTATTTATTTATATATATAAGTATTTAATTTTAATTTAACAAAAATATCATATATTATTGGCGTTGTTAAACGTTCAATGAAAAATAATAAACATATTAATTCTAAACTTAAAAATTCGTTTCAAACATTTTAAAAAGTGTTTCAACGTGCTTTATCGTAACTTATCATAAAGAAAAAAAAGTAATTGCAAATTTATTCATTATTAGTAAAATTCTAAATGTTTTTATTAATGCATATAAAAACCATGTTGAAGCATGATTACTTTATTTGCAAGCGTACTTTACTTAATTGTATTATTTTAAAAAAAAAAAACATTTCGAACTGTTAAACAATTTGGAAATGTTAAAAAAAAAGGTGGAGAAGGCACTTAATCACATATACGACCTAAAGGCTCTTTTTTTACGGCACAGGATCCCAATTTTAAAACATTTCAAAATA